GGAAAGAGGGTGAATCATACTGCATCTCTTGATGTACAAGGCCAAACTCATCTATGGAACCTGGGTTATAATGGGATGTCTAGATTCAAGAAGGACTTCAGTGATTAAAGCATTGCCTAAACAGACTTTAGGCACCTACATGCAAAATTATGATCTATACACCTCAACTTAGCTGTTATTTAATTCTGGGCATGCAGAAATTCACTCGAGTCAGTTTAAAGTCACTTTTTTACTCTAAAGGTCTCCAATCGCCTAGAGTTTAGGTAGTGATAGGTCCCATGTGATAGGATCCAGAAACTAAGCCACTTAGGAGACGGAGGAAGCAATCTGGTAGGCATGCTCTGGAAACAGCTAACACACACTGACAGAATCAGGCTTCCTACAAAATGCAGTAGTAGCCACCATTTAACCTTTAAAAAAATAAATAAATAAATAAACAAACAGGGCCACTGGTAAAGAAGGAAGCCCTCTCCCAGGAAGTAGGAGACCCTAGGCCAAATGCTTCTCTATACCAAGAGGTTTGAACTCCAGCTCTCCTACCTTGCAGGGGTGTGTCCTAAATACTAGTCTAAAAACTAGACTGAGTGGGGGCTCTCTCCATAACTGCTATTGAAGCCGTGCTACCACGCAAAAAAAGAATGCAAGCCTGATTGAACTAGAGAGAGCACAACTCTTTAGGCTCTGATGTAGCTGATTTTTTTATACAACACCATAACTGCTCAATGTGCACTGCAGAAGCAGCAAAGACCAGAACACTCAGAAGGATGTTTTTTGGTGAAATAAAGTTAAGTGCCTACCTTTGGGAGAGGATTCTAAAGGGTGGACCCCAAACTGACAGAGGATCTTTCTGTGGAGTCCCGAGGGACCTAAACCCCAAGAGGTGAGGAATGCACAACCCTCTCATCAGCTGTCCCTACCACATTAGGAAGCTCCTTACTCAGCAAGCTAGATATTCTAACTATTCCCATGCACTTAGAGCAGCCAAGGCAACTAACACTGGCTCTGGATTCCCCTTGGAGGGGATGGGGAGGCATGTACCTAACATTTAGTTAATACAGCATCCAATCTTAATCTTCTCAGTCCTTTACTGGAGCCAGACCCTAATTCCCACAAACCATTTGCAAATAAAGCTGTATTTTATGCTGCAGATGGTCACTCTGTGGAGTGAATAGATTAAAGAACAACCAGGATTATATGCATTGGTGGTGCACCCCCTGAGCTGGGCAATGGTTGACGGTGCCTGCAGGCAGTTGCCGCTTGCCATCCACACCACCAGCGGTGTCTGCAGGCAGTTGCCAATCGCCACTGGCCACCGCCGCTGCTGCTGCTACCAGCGGTATCTCCAGGTGGTCACTGATCACTGGTTGGTGCTCGCCACCCCACCTCCCTCACCACTGACACCGCCGCAGCTGCCTGCGGAAGCTTCCCACTTGCCACCACCATGCCCCCGTCACCACCTGCGGGTGGTCGCCGTGCCCCCCCAGCCTTGGGAGGCATGCAACATTCATAATTATATGATTTGTCTTGTAAACTGTAAGCACATGCCAATATTAAGACAGGGAACTGTCTACTGCAGTGGGGGCCAAACTTTTGGGCACGCATGTCACAAATAAGTTCTAAAGCCTCTCCAAGTGCCAGTACCATAGCGGGGAGGGGGCCTATGGGGCAACTGCCCTGGGAGCTGAAGCAAAGGGGCACCAACAGGCACTGCCCAGCCAGGGCAGGGTGCAGGATGGGGTCTGTAAGTGAATCTGTATGCAGAACGGGGGTAGGCTGCCACTGTAGGCTTTGACCCAGGTGCCAAACTTCGTTGCTACAGTACAGCTGAGTGCTACTCTGATCATCTTCACCTATACAATCTGCCACTCTGTTTTCTGCTCCCTGCCCTATCTGCCATTGTCCTACCTATCCCCTGAACTGGTCTGCCATGTGCCACAAACAGAGGCTGCCCATGCCACTTACAGCACATGTGCCACAGCTTGGCCACCGCTAATCTATTGGACATGATCTGTTGAATAAGCCCCTCAGTATTCATACAGCCTTCTTAACATTTGTTTCCTGTTTATGCCATCAGTTTACTCTAACTTCAGTTGAATTACTGAACTTGCATTTGTAATTGAAGATGATAATAACAAGGCCACTTAAATTCACTACAGAGTTTTTCAGTTCTATAAATATGTTAATTGCTAAAAAGTGGATTTAACATCAGTTGAAAACAAAATTCACTGGACTAATGTCAATATCAAAACTGATTAGTAGGGTTTTAATTTGTGATTTATATACCCTCAAACCCTGAGGAGTATAAATGAAGCTTGTCTAAAGTCTGAGCGCGAAACAGCAAAATCAAAACAAAAGGCTTCAAAACAAGATGAGGGCACACAAAATGTTTTGAAAGTTTTGAAACATTTCAAGTTTCGAAATTGGGCAGCTAAACAGAAACTAAGAAGAGGGAGGGGAAGCAGTGGGGGAAGGACTGCTATGATATTGACATCTAGTTCCTATTCAATTCCCCAGCTCTCTAATTATTTCCCTAGCTCTAGCCAGGGGGTGTGGGCCCCCAGATCTGCACATTGGGTTTCAGCAGGCTACCACTGCACTTTCAGCCTGCTGAAAGCCTGCACACAGATCATGGGCCAGCACCCAAGTCTACCCAGTGCAGCCCACACTGAGCACCAGGAAGAACCCAGTGCTGGCACTGGTCCCAGCTGGCAGTGGCAGCCCGCTGCCATCCCATGTGCAGATCCAGGGGCCCGTGCCCCCCCCAGGAGGAGTCTGGCACAGCCCCACAGCCCTCCCGGGGAGCGCGGGCTCACAGATCTACATGCAGGATGACAGCAGGCTGCCACTGCCGGCTAGGGCCAGCCCCAGCACTTGGTTCTTTCCAGCGCTTGGCACAGGCTGCGCCGGGAAAACTAGGGTGCTGGCACTGTTGCTGGCCCCAGCCAGCAGCAGCAGCCTGCTGTCATCCTGCATACAGATCCAGGGACCCACACCCCCCAGGAAGAGTCCAGCACAGCCTTGCAGTCCCCCCAGGGGCCATGGGCCCCCAGATCTGCGCATGGCATGACAGCAGACTGCTGCTGCCAGCAAGTGATATGAGTTTTGCTTTGAACTATCTGAGGTACAGTTTCCAAGAAATCCCTGCACCTATCTCCTTGAAACTTGGCAGGCTTCATGCCCTGAGAAAGGGCTACCACTTCTGATATTTGCAGCCAAATCAGGCTTGAAATGACAAAGTTATAGGTATTTTCATGATTCCCTATTATAGCCTATGGGTGAAACGTTGAAACAGCAATTTTGTTTCTACGAAACAAAATGGAATAGTGCTTCAAAACAGAAAAACAAAACACTGTCCCTTCAAAACGGAAGTCAAAACAAAATGGTGCCGTTTCGCATAGCCCTAATATACAGCTTATTGCTAGAGGAAAAGTTTTGTTGAAGTATCAGGTAAAAAAACCAACACAAATATGTTGATAAAATCCCCCAACTAGTTGAGAGACTCCAGGGAAGGAGGAGAAGTACTAGAAATTACCATCTTTTATCAAATAAAAGAGAAGGTTTTTCTACCCATTCAGCATGGAGGGGAGAAAGCCCTTCCTTTTATATTCACAAACAAGGAAACCTCATTAAATAAATACATTATCATTAAACTTCTGCCGAAAGCAGCATATGCTCAGTAATAGAAACCAGCTACAAGGTTGATTAAATGCAGACCACACTGATCATAACTATAAGACACATGGCCCATGTTGGGCAAACATGCCAATGGGAACCTACCACAAGCATAAATTAGTGTAGCTCATCTGAGTAAAATACATAATAGTGCCATTAAGTGCAGTCCCCCTCAGTATTGACTTTTTCAAGTCACAGCGAGCCACCACATTGCATACATTTCAATTTCCTCTTCACTTCCACATTTGAGTTGTGCCTTTCTTTCCCCACTTACAATGATTCCAGTTTCTTCTCCAGCATTAAATGTCTGGAAAACATGACTGAACAGGGCTGCAAAGAGTTCACCTAGAATTCCTTTGTCGCCCCCCTTTCTCAGCCTGTTGCACACAATTAATGTGGTCCTGCCTTCCATGAGATGAAGCCAGACCAGGTTGCCCTATGCCTCATCTGAATATAATTTTTTGGAGGATCCCAGGACTCATGGCACAAACACGCAGTTCCAGCCATGAGTGGGAGGTCTAATTAGCATGTGGATCTTTTGTAGAGGGTATCTGGAGTACACACACTTACTGAGCAATGAGGTCACCATGGCTTGCAATGCTGTTGACTGATGGGGCCCAGCCCAATTACCTTTATGGTAAATCATGGGCCTTTTGACTAATATCATGCATAGCTTGTACCATGTAGAAGTAGGTGCTAAAGTGCTGCTTAAAATTGTGTTTATAGAGTACCTGTGCTAAAACTTGCAGCAGTTTCAAAAAAGCTAAACTACATAAATTCTAGATGAACTAAGTCTATGGGAAATGCATCCAAATTTACTACAGGTATATTTATTTCAAGGTCAGTGTTTTCAAATTTGCTTTTCACTTCCATGTGCTCAGGGAGAGCAGGGTGTGAAAAATACAGGGAGCAAGAGAAGTAGCTGCCAGGGGAAGAAGTTGAGGGGGCCAGATTTATTTTCCTTGCTATAGCAGTGGGAAGAGGGACAAATTCAAGGCAAAGCAATAATTAGATTCTATGTCTGGAAAATTATAGTAAATTTATAATATTTTCCATATCTCAAATCTAATTATTGGAGGGTCATCTTATATTTGAGTAAATACAGTAGCGTATCTCAAAAAAAAATATGCTGGCACTCAGTTTCCAATTGATAGCTCTCATCAGCCTTAGGCTAAATAGAATTTTATTTTCTAACAACAATCATTTTAATTATTACCCTTCTCTTTTGAGCATGTTATTTTCTTACAAGGCTGAAATGTACTTACAACCTCATCTCCAGTTGAACAGTGTTTGCCTGGTAATCTCAGTTTTGATTCATGTTAACGGCTGATCCTAAGTCTGTGTTGTCCTCCATTGCACTCCTTTTAAAAAAGCTAATATAAAAGTTCAGAATTAGGATTCCATTATGCCTTTATCACATGCCTGGTCTTTCTGTAACTTTAGCATATTCTTTTCACAAAGGAACAATGGTCACAGTGTAACATTTTCCACAATTTTCTCTGAAGTAGGTAAGCTAAGCATTATATCCTATTATAAAAAGCTCTCATGCTTCAAAAGATCCTACAGGCAGAGAAGCAAATTAATAATACTATGCCAAATCAGGAAAGGCTTCTGCCTTCATTTAAAAGGCTGAAACTCTTCCGAAAAGGTATCCATATTATTTTTCTGTTCCTATTAGGAAGGAAAAATTATGTCATGAGAACCTAGCAAGTTTATCCAAAAATCCAGCCTTCTTGCCTTTGACTCTAGTATTGAAATAATCCCATCCAATGCCACTTTGGAAAGAGATGTGTTAGCCTGTCTTTTGCCAAAGAGAAGAAAAGAACAAGAGCAATTTAGTTCTGTAAACTTAGTTCTGCCATAGCAGACAGAAAAATTCTTGTGAAGCATTCCCATCCAAAATGCAAGTAACAAATGATCAAGAACACATATAAACACCGCAAATAAGGGACAGTTAATACAATTCATTTATTGTATAAAAAATATCAATACTTAACTTTATAATGATCAGGGATCCAGGTTCTCTGTTTGCTGTGGAAAAATGAAGAAAAACGAGGACTTTCTCCTTCAGCAGAGAAAAATGTTGATTTTTCTCTTTTAAAGGAGAAAAAACGCAGGAAACCATGGGTTTTGCTTTGCAAGTTGGTGGAGTTCCAGCCTGCAAGGGGCTGCAGGGGAGTGGGAGAAGGGCAATCAAGGCAGAGGGCACTGCCTGCACATGCGCGCACACATGTACGCGGAAGCCAGGCAGCGGTGGAAAGCAGCTCCTGCAGCTCCCTCCAGATAAATCTATGGGGGCTAGGGACGAAGGAAGGGGATGGGGCAAAGGCCATGTTGAGGGTGGAGGGGAAGGGGGACAGGCCACATGTTGGGTGGGTAAGGGGCAAAACAGCACAGGCCACAGGTCACACAGCAGGCATGTGGGGGGCATGTCCCCCTAAGATTTCTGCACCTACAGTGGGGTGTGGGGCCACAGCAGGGCCAGAGCAGCTCCAGTCAGGAGCCACCTCCATGGTCTTCACCACCAAGGTGAGGCACCCCCTGCCTGCCTGACAGTAGCAGAGGCACAACTCCATGCTAGTGCCGCCACATTTTGCACACCTCACCATAGTAGCATGGTGCTCCCTCACACACCGGGTCCCATCTGCTGGGCTTCAAAGGCAGCTCCTCTTCAGAGCTAGTTCCTGCTACAGCCCTGCAGCCTGCTGTTGGCACAGAAATTTCAGGGGGCATGTGACCCCCACACTGTCACTTGCACCACCCCCCACCTTCCCCCCACACCCACTCCCTTCCTCACACACTGGGGGCCTGGGGGCAAGGAGCAGCGGGTCAGGAGTGAAGGGCACTGGCAGGGCCAGGGAGCTGTGGGTTGGGAGCAAAGAGCACCACACCAGAAAGTGGCATGGGGGACAGCTGCAGTTGGACCCACATCCTAGTGAGCAAAGGGGGCAGGGGAAGCTCTAACTTTTCATTATAAAAAAAAACAAAATCAAACACCAAAATGTATAAGTATTTAGAATTTATTTTATTATAGTGACTGAGGCACTATTGGGCTTTCAAACTGCTTTAAAATGGTAAATGTATCAACAAAATATTGTATTCAAGTAATACACACACACACACACACACACACACACACACACACACACGTGTGTATAGTGTCATTTCATTTTAATCGCAGAAAAACACAGATTTTGGGTGTCTTAATCACTGAATTCAAAATTTTTAAACAGAAAAACTAGGATCCCCGATAAGGAGTACCTGGGTAACTGGCAAAAAGCCAGCAAGCTGTCCAGTTACACTAAGAAGCTATTTCTTTTGATTTCCCTAGCATCTATCAGGAGTAAATCTACTGGACTAAGTTTAGTTTATAGTAGTACGTAACTGAGTAGAACCAGTGTGTGCTCAGGTCTCAATATGCTGGAGACCACCTGGGGACTTCCTCAGCAATTCTCAAATAAATGAAAAAAAGGCTCTGTAAGGTTATTTATTATGTGGTTTATTCTAGGACTTAAAGCAAACAAGTACACTAGTCCGGCAGTATTAATTATAGCACATATTGGAAAAGAATGCAGCAAACAAGACGATCTTCATTTAATGGCTGAAGCTATTAAGGAGTCTTTGGCACATTTGCAGTTACATGGAAAGCAGCCCATAAAATTCCAAGCCTCTCCCCTGTCTAACACTTTTTCAAATCCCCAAAGAGCAAGTGGGTCAATGAATTCCAAAGAGTTTGCTTTTTGAGCAAAATCATAGGAAAAAGAGTATAAACAAAAACCCCTAAACTAATGCATCATGTGCCATCTTGAGACTAAAAGAAAGATTTTTGCAGCAAGTAATCTGAGCAGACAGGAAAATAATAGACAGCTGCATCAGTGGAGTGTACAGCACAACTCAAGAAGGCTTTCTTATGCTCCTTGTCCTAAGTCAGCTCTGTTTTGCGCTACTCCCTGCAGCAAAAATCAATGCCTCAAGATGCCAACAGATGAGTACTTGGTGGGGAAGTAAACTGCCATGCCATAGCTCTTTCATTTCAATTAGGCCTCTGTGCCATGGCTACACAAATGGGGGAGGAGCACAGGAGACAATACACCAGATCTTCACCATTGGAAAATCTCATTACCTACAGAAAACTTCCCAGGACAGCCACTGAAGTGCTAAAGTGACTGTGACACAAACCAAGGTCTGGACCAAGCAATATGTTGACATTTGAAAGAAAGCACTAAAAAATTGAGAGAGAATATCACCAGGTGGGGGCATTTATGAGTTAACAAACATAGCATTCCAAATGCACAGATGAGCAGGGAGCGAAATAATAGAAGAGCAGCAGTTCTGACATCCTTAGTATGGTGCTACTTTGTGGGGGGGGGCGGCGGCAGAGTGAGGAGGAATTCTGTTGCATGATATTACCTTTTCTAATCAAGACACTTCCATAATCTAGATACTCCTTCACTTTTTACTTTGACAGATCACTTAAGATAATATAGAACAGTCAAGAACAATTACGAATGCTCCAGAATCTGCATGCTTCCAGTGCATGGCTGTCATAGGAGACTTCAACTACCCAGACATCTCGTGGGAAGAGCACTCAGCCAAATCCGAATGGTTGCAAAACTTCCTTGTGTGTGGACGAGCTCTGACTCAAGAAGTCTATGGACCAACGAGAGGCAAAGCACTGCTCAACCTGGTACTGGCAGCCGGGGATGATCGAATCAGCAACCTAATGATCGAAGGGAAACTGGGAGACAGCAACCATGAGCTGATCACCTTCACTGTCCACTGTAAAGCTAGCAAGTAGTCAAAGCAGAAGTCCTCGACTTCAGGAAAGCTGACTTTGACAAGCTCAGGAGGCTTGCTGGCAAGGCCCTAAGGGACCACAACCCAAAGGGGAGGGGAGTTCAGGAAGAGTGGTTGCTCCTCAAGGGAGTGATCCTGAAAGCACAAGCAATGTCTATCCCGTCTCAGAGGAAAGGCAGCAAAAGGGCACAGCAGCCCCCTTGGCTCTGCAGGGAACTAGTGGACCTCCTGCACCTAAAAAGAAAGAACTATAATGGATGGAAGACTGAATCCACCCCAAAGGAGGAATATTCTGCAGTGGTCCAGACCTGTAGGGAGCAAACCAGGAAAGCCAAGTATGCAACTGAACTCCAACTGGCTACATGTATCAAAGACAAGAAAAAAAAGACAAGGAAAAGTAAGGGTAACATTGGACCCCGGCTAAATCATATGGGACAATTGACAACCGACACCCAGGAAAAAGCCAACCTGCTTAATGGGTATTTTGTGCCGGTTTTTCACCAGCCCCAAGGGCTGGCCCTGCTCAATATGATACGGCATGGCCAGGGTGAAGGAGAATTGTTACCCTTCATCAGTGTAGACCATGTGAAGGAACACCTTGAGAGGCTGGACACCTTCAAGTCAGCTGGCCCAGACAGTTTACACCCCAGGGTACTTAAGGAGCTGGCAGGCATCATAGCTCAGCCATGGATCTTCAAGAACTCATGGCACTTGTCACAACCCAAAGGTGTGATTTTGTTTTGTGTGTGCTTTGGCACCACTGAATTATTTTCCCGCCAATTTGTAGCTTTCTTTGCAGTGTGCATTTCTTCTTTGCAGCACAGAAATGCACTTTGCAAAGAGTTCCCGCCATTTGTATTATAATTCGAGCCCCATTATTGGCTTGCGTGAAATTATTCACACGTGGCAGCTAGCGATTGGCTTGCTAGCCGTATAAAAGGCTTGAGTGGTTTCTGCCCAAGTTGGAGGACTCCACGAACACCAGGAGGAGGAGACTTCACGCTGTGTGAAGATCTCTAAGCGCTGCGGAGCCTATCGGACCCAGCACATTTCAAGCAGGCAACAGGGGTCGGATCAGCCTCTAGCCTCTCCCTGTAGCCGTTCGCAATCCTCGACGTATCCCTCTCCCTGCGCGCAAAAGGATCCACGGAGCCTCGACAACTCCGTGGGAGTGATCCGAATATTGTCTGAGTCCTCAAACGAGGATTTAAGCAGAGCTGTGCCTGGGAAACTGTCCAGCCTACACCGCGACCATCTTCAGTGTAAGTAAACAATCTTGAATCAACCATTAAGCATCCGTGCCTAATTCTAGCGTGTTGCCTGTTTTCTCCGACCCAGCGTGCCCGGGCTGCTGGCCACAGCCCGCACAGCGCGAAAAAGGGCCCGGATCGCTCCCGGCCCGCACAGCACTCACGTGAAGTGCCCGAAGATTGGAAGAAGGCCCGTGGTGCCCATCATCAAGAAAGGGAGGAAAGTAGATCTGGAAAACTATAGGCCTATCAGCCTGACCTCTATCCCAGAGAAAATCTTGGAAAAAATTATCAAAGACCATTCTTGACAAACTGGCTGATGGCAACATCCTGGGAGATAGCCAGCACAGGTTTGTTGCAGGTAGGTCTTGCCTGACCAATCCCATCTCCTTCTATGACAAGGGGGAGGAAATTGATGTCATATATCTTGATTTTG